CCATTCACCAAAATGTTGTGTTCCAATAAGAATGTATTATAATTTGACATAGATTCAGACGCTCTTATTACAGTGGATGAAAAATCGCACGACTTGATATGTATTGGAAACCTCGGAAAAAATACCACTTAAAAGTTTAATTTAGTGTAATAGAAGGGTGTGATTGTTATGAAATACGAACAGTGCCTTCCATAATTACATTAAAGAAAGGAGAAGTTTGTGAGTTTGAGATATTCATTAAGCTGTTGTGCTTGTGTAAAATAGACGAACACTTTGTAGTTATCTATCTTAACCTATGGCGCTTGTTTTATTCCAAACCACATATGCATGGTCACAGAATTTGCTTTGTATGGACGTTTACAGGACTTGATGAAACACAAAAAGTCTAATGAAATTAGATTGAAAAATAAAATGAAAATCGTAATAGATGCTTTCAAAGGGATATTATATTTACATGAGAATGGCATTTTACAAAGAGACAATAAACCAGACACATACTCGTCATTTCCTTGTAAAAAATAGAATGAATGTCAATGGGAAGCTGACTGATTTTGGAATTAGTAGAAACATCAATTTACTCACAACTAATATGGCTTTCACAAAGGGTATCGGAACACCAAAATACATGGCACAAGAAATCTTGAATAAACAACATTATAAGAAGTCAGCTAATATCTACTCGTTGGCTGTGACATTCTTTGAGACTTTGATATAGTGAGAGGCGTTTACTGCAGATGAGTTAAAATTTCCATGGAGCATCTCCATTTTTGTAGCTTCTAAAAACGGGTTTCAATCAGAGAAGGCATTAGTCCAGAAGCTTATAATGTTATTTCAGAAATGTGGACACAGAAACCCAAAGACCGACCAACCGCAAATGTTGTGGTGATTCTTTTACAAAAGTTACAAGGAAATAATTAAAAATGGTTTTTATAATTATAAAATTTATTGTTAATTTTTTTTATCATTTATTATATTAATTAATAATATTTTATTATATGTAATAGTAATTTTGTGTTTAATAAAAATACTATAACTAAATGGTTATATTATGAAGTAATATAATATAGTTTAATAACTAATATTAATAATAATAACAAATGGAAAAAAACCCATAATAAAGAAAAAAAATGTATTATGAAACATTTAATGGTAATGGTAAACTTAATTAGGGCGGTTCTGATGACACATTCATTAACATCGATGTTTGTTCAGGCAAGAACCAAGAAAATGGTTTGTACATAATTTGGATTCACAGGGATACAAATTTCGCAACTTACCAACATTTTTTATTTATCTAAGCAAGGTTCCCCATTTTTTGGTCTGTAAAAAAATTACGCCATTAAAAACAAGAAATACTTTTAGGGTCTCTTAAACCCTATAATATTTTTCTTGTTTTCATTATGCCTAAGAAAAAACAATCAGAAAATTTAAAATGTTAAAATAAAAGCCAAAAAACGGATAATTTAACTTATTTTTATTGATAATTAGTATCAATTAATTTTGAAAAAATAACTTCCAATTTATATTTTGGGCTTTTCTATGTAAAAAACGGATATTTATTAAGGCGATCATGGTGAATCTATTTATGTTGAATATTTTGGCTTTTTTACTCAGGAAATAAATATCGGACGATTATTATTAAAAATGAAATATTTAGAAAATAATTTTTCTTCCTAATAAAAAAACATAATTTGCTCCAAAAATAAAAAACAAAATAATTGCATAATAATATTTTGGGTGGTTGTGTTGAGCAGCAGCAGCAATTTAAAATCGAAATCGAAATGTAAATAATCCCGGTTATTTGCTCACATTCTAATATAACTTCTTAGTATTAATATTTTGTTTTATTGAAATTAAATAACATAAATAATCGGGAAATAAAAAGCGAAAATGTTAACTTTACTTTTATAATAATAAATCATATAGTGACAGAGCAAAAAAAACAAATATTGCCGTTCTAACGTTTGAACACATTTAAAAATGTTTTTATTTAAAATACTATTTTATACTCAAATTATAATGTGTTGTTAAAAAACGTTATAAAGAGACTTAATTATTATCAAATATTTTATCATTTAAAAAATAGAATTATACAAATTATGATATTTTAATTTAATCAACTTTAAACAACTTTGATTCAAATAAAACACATTTTCTAATTTAGTATGTCGTCAATTCCTTTATGTTTGATTCTAAAAATCGTTTTGGTTTCATTGTTTAATGATTTAAAGAAATCAACAAGTTGAACACGATATTTTGGATCATCCCAACACAAGCAAGTTTTTGCCATATGACCATCGATTCCACAAATTTTACGTTTTTGGTTTTTTCTTCTTTTTTCAGTTTTTTCTATATTGTTTAATACCATTTATTTTGACACTTTCTGGGTTTTCAACTTTCTCGACTAGTTTCGAAGGTTTGACCTTTGTTATCTGAATCAATAGCGGATCTTTGTAAAACATATGTTCACTATTCAGAATCACCTTTTCTTGTTTTTAAATCACTTGTATTATTGTTTTATAAACATCTGCAACTATATTAACTTCATTCATTTCTTATTTGTATGAAGTATTGTATCAATTATTTCTTCGAATACAACAACGTGTTCTTATCGTGTCCAATTATTTACATGTTCATCAAGCATTCGTTTTAAATACTCATGTTTGGCAACTTTCAAACTTGGAACAAGCACTTTTCTCCCAAAGTCTGTCATATTAAACAAAGGATGTCTCTGTGATAGAAACTTATCATAAAGATGCCAATAAAGTTGGTGGCAACACGGAAAAACAAGTCCAATATTTTGAAAATCCGGACACGAACAATTAAA